TGTCGTAGAGAGTTCATTCTTTTTTTGTTTAAAAGAGGAAAAGAAACTACATCGACTGACCGGCGTCGATTTTTGAATTAGGTCTTAGTTTTTTGTCAAACTGAGGATTTTTAGAAAATCCGGAAGGCTTTTTCGGGTTTCGCAGGTTATTGGTTGCCTGGAAAACGAATAAAGGCTTAATTGAAAAATCAGCGCCGATCAGTCGATGTAGTTAGGTGTCCAGTTTAAAATAAAACAAACCCGAACTCTCCAGCTTGAAGTATATTAAAAAATCTTGGGACGCCGTTCAGGGTCCTTTTTGGACCTTGATCTCTTGAAAACTCCTAAACCGTAAGACTTGGAAACAAAAAAAACTTTTCATTCCCGTTACTCATTGTGCCGAACATTTACGGAAAGTTTCGTCAAGATCGGATGTACGGTGCCGGAGATAATTTCTGAGGGGGGGGCCCTTAAGAAAACAAAGTACAGTATCTAGCTGAAAATGTCGTTTGCATACTCTTCGTAATGTATGTTTGATATTGAGATTAATTAAGTTCTGAAGTGAAAGACAATACTCGTCAATAACTTTGATAGAGAATTTTCGTTTTGAAATGTCTAACTCATACTAAGGTCCTTCTTTCGAATTTTCTCTTCTACGAGCAGCTGAAACTTTGCACTTTCGAATGGTCTTTCAAAACATTTTAGCTGTCTATAGAAAGTATCGGTAGAGATAAGCAGATGCGCGACCACTTAGTTTCATCTTGGAAAACATGATAAGTTTAGAAAAGTGGTTTTTCTTCATGCAGCGTTCACTTCCACGATCAACCAAGCATTCAGTTCCTAGATGATGAGACTACCTATGCTTGGTAAATCGTCACCTTGTATGATAAATACTTCCTATAGAGAAAACAAGAGTAGCTAAAATGATTGATCAAAATTTTATCATCTGGGAAGTGAACACTTGGTTGATCCAGACGATCGCTCAAATTCAATCGCTTTCAAAGCGATATTTAAGTAAGAACCAGGATAAACGTTTTATACACCACCATTCTGCTACCATTCTGCATTTCACTCTACAATGCATAGATCTATTGAGAGTCAACAGCGAAGCAGATAAACAATTCATTCTAATGCGTCATTCTTGCTGAGCAATAGCGTGCAATATTCAGCAGCAGAGTCATCCACTTATCTTCGTGAAGAATTAAGAATCAGACAATGAAAATGGGCATTTAGTTAAAGGATACACATACACATACATTCATCAGGCAAATGCGTTTACTTTTGAACTAAGTTGTCCAAAAGTCAATAAGTAAGAGTTCTAATTCCTTGTTCTGTGCAACGTGTGATGCACATTATGACATCATACTGTCGTTTGTCCCATTATATGCTTTCGTCTAAAAGTCAGAATCCAGCCTGAAAGGTTTCGAGCGGTATTCCCTTGACTTTGGCATAAGGTCTTACAAAAATTTCAGAATGAATTTAGAAATATTTTTAGACCCCTGGGGATCTTTGGAGAGTCTAGAGAAAACTTTTAAGGTTTACATTAGATTATAGTCAAGGAGTCGAGGGAGTGCAGACGAACGTTACCTTGTTGAAACAAGCATTTTGTTTTCAAGCAATGCTCGAATACGTGATGCTGATAAACTCCGTTATAAGCTATGCTAAGAATTTGAAATCGAAACGTTGAAGCGCTGCCGAGTTATTGCGTGACAAGAGGCAAAATGGGCTCTTAGCAAAAGCGTTATAACTTTTTTGTTGGAAGGTGCAGAAAGCTGCGAGGGGCCTCAAATGAAAGTAGACACCTAAATCAAAAATTTGAAAAGAATTTCCCTTCTGTTTATTCCCTACACGTATTGTAAGTTAGACCTCTGAAAATAACCCTAATTCGGCGGAGTATTTGCCACTTATCTCTGCACAGAAAACAAAAATCAAAAATCGCCGCGGATTAAAGTTTAGATAGATGTCTTAGCTTCAAAATAAAAAAAGAATGAAGGTTTTACGATGAATCGTCTAAGAGTTATTACAACTTTACTCTGCCAAAACCGTATGCTAAGAAATGATCACTTCATTAATTATAGTTCAGCGCCTTTAGCAAAACTAGTATAACTTTGCAAGACAAAGTCGTACATAGCTGCTGGATATCTCATTCTGATCAGAACACTCTGCTGAACATAACTCCATGTCTATTAAAACGGACAACCTTAAAGATTAATAAAAATGTGAAATTTAGAAAAAGGTGATTTTTAGGGCTTTCAGAAATCTTTTTCAAAATCCTCCAAAAACATTAAATTTTTGGCAAACTAAGATGGATTCTGAAAGATGACACTTTGGGATACTGAACCGTGCGGTTACTTCAGTTTCGAAGAAAACATCAAATTCCTGAGGGGAGGCCCCCTTATAACCACCACTCCTCCTTGTATTGAAGCGCTCCATTTTTGTATTTGTGTTAAGTAAGCAGCTCTTGCTGCCACTCTCTGGGAGTGGCGATAGCCATTCCGATATTTCAGCCATGTCTTTGAATATTTTCTCTCTCGTGGTTAAAAAAGAATTTTCTATTTTTTTCTCTTGTGATTGGCTTATCCTGGTACAGTGTAAGATCCTAGACTAAAGTCAAAGGAATAATAACTTTTTTCCCACTGAACGGATCTTTTTGAATCCTTTTTTATTTGTCTAATGCTGACCCACTACCACTAAGGACAGCAGCTCTTTATTACAAAGGTGGAATGAATTTTAATTGTTTTTTTAAGGAACAATTTGAAGCTGAAGACTAAGTCGCTCAAAATATATAAATGAATTAACGGTTTAATTCAATTTTCTATGGAAATAAATCAAAATATTGTCGTTAAAGACACTTTTGGTCTTTTTCTGTCCCGCAAGATTGAATCTTGCATATCTCAGCTAAAACTTAACGCAATCTTAATCAAAAATAGTCAAAAAAAGTTCATAAAACAGTTTATTTTTTACGGTTTTGTTCATGAAAACGGTACAATAGCAGACCAAGTCTCACATATGTGTACATTTTGTTGATATACTTCCACAACCGAGAATCCTAGAGAGCTTTGACACGTCTCATCTTGTTAAGAACGTACACGTTTCTTTGCAAAACGAGACAAATTTTATGTAAACTTTGTGCGACTATTCGTTCCAAAGGTATGAATACAAGAGAATAGCACAAAACGTTACGGAATCATCATTTCGATCGAGTTACGCGGAATGACTAACAAACGTAAAAGCGTCTACAAACAGATCAGGTTCATATTATCCACAATGAGATACCGTTTCCAACATCCGAACAGTTTTCCTTTTTCTCAATAGTTCGAATTCATATCACAGGAAATCTTTTCTTTTGTTATTGTTGAGATATATGTTGAAAAAAACATTTGACTGAGATGAGTAATTACATCAATATTCTGAAAAACCAAACAAAAGTTACATAACGATGTACGATGTATTATGTGTGAAAACATTTTATTTCTCTATTAGACAAAAAAAAAAGTAAAAGGTCAATAAATGTGACAGTGGCAATATTTTGTAAAAGATCTATTTTTAAAATCTACAATGACGAAAAAGCAAGAATACACGCAAAAGCAGGTAACTCAGGTATGTGTGTTTTTGTACCTTGCCACAATTAAACGGAAATAAAAGAAAAAGAGAAAATGAGTAGAATAAAAAATAAATAAATATTCGAGAGTTTTTTCTGATCTTCATTATTTTTATGCATTCTTTTGTTTTTGTTGTGATTTTTGTTTATCTCTTTCGATGAAAAATAATTTCATTGCATTTAAAGCACTTCCAGCTTTAAACCACTCAATTTGTGGTTCATTGAATGTATGATTTAATTTTATTGTTTCCGTTTTACCATCAGCATGTTTAATACGACAGTTGACAGGCTAAAGTAGAGCAAAAATAATCAAAATCTATAGAAAAGAATACGAATACGCATACTTCTCCTGGCGCTAATTTATCTAAGCCAAGTATAGAGATTTTATCGTCTGGTTTAATTTTACTATAATCTTCTGGGTTATCAAATGTCAACGCTAATAAACCTTGTTTTTTAAGATTGGTCTCTAGGAAAAAACAAACGAACAAATTACTTTATATTTTTCCTATCGTTTCCACACAAATTTACCATGAATACGCGCAAAGCTTTTGACAATAATTGCTCGAGCTCCTAAATGTCTTGGTTCAAGTGCAGCATGTTCACGACTACTACCCTCACCATAATTTTCGTCACCAATAACTACCCATGAAACACCTTTGCCCTAAAACACATTGAGTGAAAATTGAATTCATTTACTTGTTCTAAAGAAAAGTCTTTTAAGTACCTTGTAATAACGAGCCGTATCAGGTACTTTTCCCCATTCATTAGTTAAGGCATTACGAACTTTATTTGCCTCATTATTTTCCTCATTTACTGCACTAAAATGAATTAAGAGAAAGTGAGAGTAACATCAACATATCTAAATATGCGATTTTCAAAGCATAATCAATTTAGAAAAAGATCAAACATTTCACTTTACTTACGCAATAAACATATTGTTTGAAATGTTATCCAAATGACCACGATATTTTAACCAAGGACCTGCTGCACTAATATGATCTGTTGTACATTTTCCTTTAATCTATAAAAAGATGAAAAAACAATATTCTTATACATTTGTCTAAATAATATAAATACAAACTTTAATTAAAATGGGTAGATCAACGAAGTCTTTCTTATCCCATTTTTCAAATGGTTCTAATAATTGTAAACGTGCACTTTTCGGATCAACATCAACCTTTAATGAGGAACCTTCTTTAGGAGGCTCTTGATATGTATCAACTCCAGGATCGAAACCTTTCGATGGTAAATTATCGCCGGTTGGTGGTTTCAATTTAAATTTTGAACCTATAAGTAAAAATAAACAAAAAAATAAATACAAAAATTAGACTACTGCTTAATCACTGACTAGAACCTATCTTACCATCAGCGGCTGTCAACGAATCTGTTAATGGATTGAATGTTAAATCTCCTGTAAGCACCATGGCTGTGACGATATCAGGTGATGCAACAAACGCATGAGTATTAGGATTGGCATCATTCCGACCGGTGAAATTTCGATTGTATGATGAGATAATCGTATTTTTTTCACCTTTTTTTATATCTTGTCTAAAACAGGAGAAATTTATTGTTGTATAGATCTACAGCCATCTTCGCTGCTTACCGATCCCATTGTCCAATACATGGTCCACAAGCATTTGCCAATACAATTCCACCAATTTGTCGTAATTTTTCGGCCTAAAAATTACGGAATAAAAGTGTTCATCTAGTTTTTGTGAAAGAGTAAAACTTACAATTCCATCGCGTTCAATAGTGGCTCGTACTTGTTCACTACCAGGTGTTACTGTAAACATACATTTTGCTTTTATGCCTTTGTCAATGGCTTGTTGTGCTATAGAAGCTGATCGACCCATATCTTCATAAGAACTATTTGTACAACTACCAATAAGACCTAGTTTAAACCAATATAATGAATTAGATAGAAAAGAGAAATAACCTTATTCTTCTTACCGACACGAATATCCAATGGCCAATTATTTTTTTTTGCTGCTTCTCCTAATTTTGCAATAGGATGAGCCAGATCAGGAGTAAATGGTCCATTGACATGAGGTACAAGCTGGAAAAAAATGCCATTCAAACTCACAGTCAAAGAAAGCAGAAGCAGCCCTAGATGTTTTATTAGAAGAACTAAATCAATAACTATTCATCTACTTTTAGATTTTTAAGCATCCCGTAACGGTAGAAAATAATGACCTGCGTGCCCGATGAAATTGTTTGGATACATCAGACACGTTACAAAGTCAATATCGACAGGCCAAGATTTCCCTATACGTGTAAAGTAACCCGTAGGGTTATTCTATTCAGATAAAAATCACAATATATATACTTCTGTAAGATTAATGTCGACAACTTGATCGTATTTACATCCTTCATCGGATGTTAATAGTTGCTGCTGATATTCATTAGCCAAAGTTGCTATATCTAAATCGCAAATACGAAAAAAGTAACTCTTTTGTTTTCTCATTTCTCATACAAAAATACCTTCTCGGTTTGTTGCTTTTAAAAATTCGCCCATTCTAGCATTGTAAGGAAATACCGATGTTGTTGCACCAATTTCAGCACCCATATTACAAATTGTACCCATACCTAAACGAATCACACAGAAGTCACCATTTTGTGTTTTTTCTTTTAAAAATTATCAAATATATGTACCGGTACAGGAGATTGATTCTACGCCCGGACCAAAATATTCGATAATAGCACCGGTGCCTCCTTTAACAGTAAGGATGCCAGCTAATTTCAAAATAATATCTTTCGGCGCCGTCCAGCCACTTAATTCACCTGTTAAGCGAACACCAATTACCTAAAACAGACAAACCCATATTATTTTATTGTACTTGGTCATTACTGTATAATTTTAAATGAACATTTAACACCATAGTTCTGAGATTACTTTTATAACTTACTTTCGGACACTTGAGTTCCCATGGCATATTAGCCATCACATCTACAGCATCCGCTCCTCCAACTCCAATACACAGTCCTCCAAGACCACCTCCGTTTGGAGTATGACTATCTGTACCAATCAATAAAACACCCGGGTAAGCATAATTCTCGATTATAATCTGAAATAAAACGAAAAATTAACATTTCTTCTGATGAGAACTGATCCTATATTTTATTCATTTACTTGATGAATGATTCCACTTCCTGGTTTCCAAAATCCAATACCATATTTAGCACTAGCTGTTGCCAAAAAATTGAATACTTCTTTGTTTAAATCCTAAACAAAAAAACAAGAGAACAAAATGATAATAAATAAGAGAGAGAAAGTGACATTTTTATACTTTTGCTCGCTTTAAATCTTGTTCTCCACTAATCTGTGCTTCAATCAAATGATCACAATGAATTGTTGTTGGGCACAGAACATTTGGTAAACCAGACGAAATAAATTGTAAAACGGCCATTTGAGCTGTTGCATCTTGCATAGCAACACGATCAGGACGTAGACGTAGATATGATTTACCACGTTCAATTTTCTAAAATAAGCAACTAACTGTATTTCATGTAATTCTACTTCACGTTCTTTCGTTAAATCAAATCATAGAGCCATTCAATTGATTCTTCTTGAAATCAGCAGCTTCAATGGTTTATTAGTTTAGAATCCTCGCTATCGCAGAAAAAACGTCTGCTGAACAGAGTTACCAGATGCTTGGGTCAAAAAAACGGAAACCCATTTTTCACCGTATTAGTTCATTTTTTCACCAAACGCAAAGGGTATCAAAACGAATTTTTCTAGTGCTTTCTGGTGGTTTCACTTAAGAAACACAAAAGAATTACAAAACATCATTTAAATTCCAATTTGAATCGATATTGGCTTTTTGTAGATGCGCGTTTCTGACCACCCGTCATAGATTTCAAGAGTTTTGTATGGGCAGGATAAAGTTTAATTCGAAAGTTCCCCACCTACGACAACACTTAATGGTTAAGATTTTCTGACCGAATTGCCTTCCTTGAAGATTTAGTATTTTACTATTTTTCACACTCCCTTTCAGTAGCACTTGAGACAAGCTAATGTTTTTCTATTACCGCTCACTCACGAGGCAAATTTCTGATTTAGTCAATAAAACAGTGCGCATCTGTTTTATAAAAGCTGCAAAAGCATTGTTTCGACAAGTCATTCAGCCGCAGAAGTCGGCAAATTTTTTATGAGAAAATGTAAAAACCCTGATTGCAGTAAAAAGGACAAAAACAAAAAAATCCTCGAAAAGCGGACAAATTGCGGACACTTTGTACAGTAAGCGGAATTTATCCGCAAAATGCGGATCATCTGGCAACTCTGCTGCTGAATCTGGTAAATGATAAAAATAGAACTCACTTGATTTTTCGGATCATCCAAATGAGAATAAAGGATTTTTTCAGATAATGTTAATGGATGATTTAATCTAAAAGCGAAAACGAAAACAGAAGAGGTATGCAACTTTTCAAGGCATTTTTTTCATCAAAATTCTTACCGTTTCTTCACAATATCTAGATTGGTTGATAGTTTTTCATAGTTAACGAATGTATCGGGTTCAAATCTACTTAATGGCACCTACAAAATTATAAAAGTAGAAAAAAAAGCACAACATTGATGATCCACTTACTTTTTTGGACGATGATTCTTTACTTTTTGATGTTTGTGTTGAAGATGCATAAATTGTTCGTGTAAGACATAAACGTCTTACAGGAGAAATTGTTTGCGTTGCACATGCAAACTAAAGCGAAAACTTCTAATATGTACAGCACGAAATATAATAAAACTTTCGTTTTCCGACAAAAAAAGAATCATATTTATATTTGCTAAGCGAAAAGGTCATTTCAGAATTCATGAACTGAACCCACTCATATCCGAGTAGAACAAATACTAAGAATATGGAACCACTTCTACTTATGATTCGCTTCAATAGTTTCGTAAAAAGAGCTTAGTACTCCGAACAATTTATGAGCTTAATATACGCACCTTTTCAATTGTTGAAACTAAAGCCCCACCCTTTGTCCACATGTTGAATCTTTAATACGTCTCAACTGAGTGGTGTGGATGTTTTAGAATAAGATTAATAATACTGGCAATTAAGCGTGCGCACAAGATGTAACTAATAAATAATAATACTATCGAAAAGGAGAGAGACAAAGTGCACCACCAAACCTAGCGAAATATGGATAGGTTAGAGGAAAAGCTTGAAATGAAACAGAGTAATGGCGGATCCCAAAATGAACATGTAAGAAAATAACTACCGTGCTTACAGTTTTAGTAGTCGAAGAACAAAACTAGTTAGTTACTCTTCAACAAAAAATAGGGCAGGAAGTTGTGATCGGGTCATTGATACTCAACGCAAAAAAAATACAAATAAAAACTGTCATCGTTGGTCAAAAATTAGTGTATCAATAT